GTAGGCAGGACAGTCTTCCCACGACGATGTTCCAGGTGTCAAAGCCTACGTTCATGCCGCGTTGCTCTGTCTCTGGTTGGCCGCTCCAGAAGGAGACGTAACCAGCAATCAAATTCTCAGGTTAACCCTGTTCAGAGAATCGGGTCTCACAGAGAGCAGTGGTGTTAGCCTTGTAGCGCGGCAGTTTTCGAGCAAGTAGCGGCGTTTACTGTCCCGGCCGGTTGCTGCTCGGACTATCTAAGGAGAACGAAAATTCCGGGCTGCTAAATCGAGGGGTATAATTTTCCCTCCTGAGTAACCCCAATTACTAAAAATCACCTAACTATACACGCGAATAATTTTTTTGCATGGCTTTTCTCGTTCCTTGCTACATGTTACTTCCGATGTCGACCGGAAACTGACATTCCTTATAGTAGTTAATTCCCGATAAATATTTTTCCTAGGCTGAAGAAACAGCTGACTCTAAGATAATGGTAAGTCAAGTGTCGTTGTCCACCACGGCAACTGAACTTATCTAATTGCCGATGGCTAAAAAGGCAAAACCGGGAGGAACTTCAAGCAATCTCCTAGAAATCACAAGAAGAGCCCGTCCCTTATAAGACGTGGCAGGTGCTAGCAGGGTAGTAACACCATCTTGGTTGAGGTGTGTGTTAAGAATGCTTTTATGGACGTAGGCACGTTAGTGTTGTGCACGACACGTCGTAGCAAGGCGATGAATGTCAGGGTTCACAGGCCAAAGCCAGCATTTCCTACACAAATATGGCCTCGATAACTTCCAGCTCACAAGAAAAGCCTCAAGTACTGATATGACATCATCCACAATAACATTACAGTGACAATAAACTATGGGAACATAGTCAAGGAGATAAGTAAGTCGCCCATAAATCGTAATGGTAAATTACTCTAACGTATGCTCCCAAGTTCACATTGCACATTCCAAGAAAACGCGTAGTGCGCGATAGATACTTTTTCGCGCATGCACCAACCATGTCTTGCCAGATGGGAAACAAATCATCGCATAAAAAAGCTACCCCAGAAACCCTCCAGACCGCACAACAACTCTTTAGTGGGAAAACGTCCGGGTCTGATGCGATTTT